CCAGCCCGCTCAGAGATGTGTATAAGAGACAACATGATTAGTTCTTGCCTTTAGTTCTTCATGAATCTAAATGTATAAACCAATCATATTAATGAATTTTACAAAAGTTGCAAAGCCGCTTTTTTTGCTGAACGCAGTCAATGTATTCAGTCAACATCAAAAAGTAAAAAAAACTTAGATGTGGAAATAAAAAACGCTACACGTGTCGCGTATGTTTATCTATATGCGTATAAAATGTATATATACACAAGTTGCAAAGCCGCTTTTTTTGCTGAACGCAGTCAATGTATTCAATCAACGTCAAAAAGTAAAAAAAAAACTTAGATGTAAAAATAAAAAACGCTATCGCGTGCTGCGTATGTATATCTATATGCGTATAAAATGTATATATACACAAGTGTTGTGTTTATTTCCCATGACGTCACGTTACATAACTTACGTTATATGTAATTTATTGTTCAGGATGCGATCCACTCCGTGACAAAGTTGAATTCCATTTTATTTTTGGTAGAGGTTCATCGGAACAATTAATTACAACGATCGATTACGAACAATATCTATGCTTTAAACGCATTATTGTCAAGTAAAATGACATCGAGGATGTAAAATTAGTAACGCAGTCATTGGCTGCGTTCAGCAAAAAAAGCGGCTTTGCAACTGTTGTAAAATTCATTAATATGATTGGTTTATACATTTAGATCCATGAAGAACTAAAGGCAAGAACTAATCATGTTGAAGAATCTCACAACAGTTGTAAAGCCGCTGTTTTCTCTGCTGAACGCAGCCAATGTTATAAACACGCGTCATTGAGGAAAAAGTGCCAGCAAAATTACAAGATTGTCAGAATAGCGGGGAAAATGTACAGATGTAAAGTTTTCGAGATATTTTCCGCATCCGCGGACATGCCTTTCACGGGAACACAATGAAAATGAGACCGCCTGAGAGGTAATGTGATAATAGAAGCGTGTATTTTAACGATTAGATGAGGCAACCTTCACATAGAGGCAATTACGCCGTTATAGATTCAGCTATATACATACGCACGCTATAATACAGCGAGGCGAGGGGTGTCCCCGACGCGGGATTTGCAAGACGCTGTAGGGTGAGGGAGGGAGAAGGATACGGGGGAAGGGAGGGGTGGTCGCACGCCGGCGGCGCGATCGAGCGGAGTCATGAATGAACGCGGATTGATTTGTCCGGGTGAAGGAATCTCGATAGAGCTCGGAAATGGAAAGGAGAGGAAAAGAAAAAAAAAGATGGAACAACTGAAAGATCCTGCATTGCTGCACCCCGTAAGGGGAGAAAAATGGATTAACCCTTTCTCGCAGCGTAACGGAAGAAACGCGGGGAGAGAGAGAGAGAGAGAGAGGAAAACGGTTATGGTTTTTACCCAGTAGAATAGAGATGAGGAGACGCAGCGCGGCCTCCGGGGTGCCCAGGAACGCCGACAGTCTCGCCAGTCCGCCCGGGCTGTGCGCCACGTTGTCCATGGTCGACGAACGATGGCGATAAATTAGAGGCAGCGAGGATCACTGGCGGCGTGTGCCAGTCACGCAACCGACGTCGAGCGTACGCACGCCGTGTATATGTATACTATGTACGTGGCCGAATGCTACAGCATGGCCGTGTCGTTACGCGCGCGCGTGTCGCACCTTTTATCACAGCGAACAGCGGCGGAGCCCGTCTCTCAGCCGCCAACGCCAACCCGTCACTGTCAGTCGTTACCAGTTACCACCGACCGTCAGCAACGCGTTAGTCGAGCTGCTTAGCTCACTATCGAGCTCGCGCGGACTGCATGAAACGCCCGCGATTAACCTTCACCACCGTCGTCGCCACCATCACCACCGACCGTCGCCACCACCGCCTATCGCGACGGCGCGGCGCGGCGGCGCGGCAGCGGCGGCGGCCCGTGCCGTGCGCGACGGCAGGGTGACGATGTGACGCGACGCGACGCCTGGCGACGCCACGCCGTTACCGGGGCGACGGACGGACGCGGCCGTCCGAAACCGAGAAAGCGTCTCGTGCCGCGTCACACTCGCGACGCACATAAATCAGATGTGCTTAGATTAGATTAGAAAATTAGAGCGGCACGCCAACGTAAACCAGGGCCATCTTGTGACTCGTCGAAATATGTTGCGCTTTTCTTGGTCGAAGTTTCTTGGCTAAAAGAAATCTAAATCGGATTTCGCGTTGTAATATCACCGTTCGTGGAACATATAAAGAGAAAATATTAAGGTATTTTTACATATAATATATGTACAATAAGATCTTCAGCTATTAAGTATCGCAAGCTCGACCGATTATTAGGAGTTATTGAGATAACTATTATTGAAAAATTAAGTATAGTCTCAAAACTCTTCTCAAAAAAAGGTAAAAGAAAACATTATACCAATTGCATTATACGTTCATTGATAAAATAATAGCTAGATAACTTATGGACATTATAGGAGTGCTATACAAAAATAAATTTCAATATTACTATATAATTTAAATCTTCCTCGACCTATTTTTCTTTACTTTTTTTTGTTAAATAAAATATTAATTTAAAGTGCTCTCAATTCTCGCATCTTTGATTCTAGATAGTAAGTATAGATTTGCTTCGCGGTTGCATGATTGCGTTTCTCTCGATTAGAAATCTGCTTTTTAGCTGAACTTTTTGTGCGTTTTTCCTTTTTTCGTTCAACGTCTAATTATATATGTACATTGCACCTATTTCATCTTAAATATATACAACGTAATGTAGTCAATAAAGAACGTAGATCGGTTGGGAACTCACAAGAGAGCCAAATGATTTTGTACAGAGCCAAATATTGTACAGAGAAAGAGAGAGAGAGAGAGGATCGACGCGGCGGCTCTGATTAAAAATGGGTCGAACGGGCCAATCGAGACTGATAGCGGTCCAACTGGGCCGCCACGACATTAGCCCGGCGATTTCCGGAGCAAGACTGCGCGTCGGGGGTTCGGAATTCGGAGCCGCGAGCGACGATCTTTCATCCCGGCGGACGATCGATCGATCGAGCGCCAACCGACAAGGGTAAGTATACACATACATACGATTGACTCGCGCGCGCGACTTTGCAGTGTCAAGGCCATAGATTTTTATCTCTCTTGTCCCCCGCCTCGCGCGCGTCAAGTCGCAAACGTCGCGATCGCACAACCACCGTGATGAGGAAAAATTCGACCCGATACTTATTCCGCGCTGATCCAGCGTGCAAGATTTAGAAACCGAACGGAGATGAATATACGCTGAGTCGATAATCGAACGGGAGATTGCGCTTTCTCTAGAAACGCAGGCGCGGTGAAGTGCCCACGAGAGAGAGTGTTTCTCTCTCTCGTAATCACTTTCGCTCCCTCTTGCTCTCGTTGCCGGGTGAAATCCTACGGTAAATCGTTCCGATAGGAGAGACGAGCAAGCGAGTGAGCGAGCTACGTAAAACGCTCTTTTGTGGGCAGTGAAATTGGAAAACGTTGTAAAAAAAGTATCATTTATATATATATATATATATATATATATATATAAAACCAATAGTTCTCGGCTTTATAGATATAATAATTGAAATACAAATCAATTGAAATAAAAATCGAACGTACGTATGTTATTGGATATTGTTCAAACAATCACGAGAGAAATGTAATACGAAATACAAACGAGAAAGGAATAACGTGAAATTCAAGCAAGAAAGAAAAAAATGTATATAAATCAATGTACGGTAATCTAATCATAATTAATCACAATTACGATTGTGTTGCTGTGTGTACATTAATTTTTACTCGTAGTATAAATTAATGTACGCAGTAACACAATCGTAAGTATAATTAATTACGTTTGTGTTACTGTGTACATTAATTTATGAACTTAATATAAATGAATGTATGCACATAGTAACACAATCTTATAATTTTAATTACACTTGCATTATACTGTATATACATTAACATCTACAGGATAAATTTAAAAACAATTATAATTATGATTAATTAAGATTGTATTACTACATATGTTAATTTATACGTACATCATTATTTTTAAATGGAATTTTTTTTATGCGAAATATACATTTTTTTGTCAAAGAGTATATATTAAGAATGCAACAAGTTATTGAAAAATTGCGTTTATTTTTTATATTAACGAAATTTTGAAAATCATTGAATATCATATTCGATAATTTTAATAACATAAAGAATTTAACAACATAAAGAATGTTTTTATCGCGATATGAAGAACCATACTGAAGAACAAGACTGGATAAGATAATTTTATATGTTTTTAGTACTGCAGTTTTACGATGTAGATTGTAGAGCAAAAACATGCGCGCGTAAGTGCATATATATATATATATATATTTATTACATATATAATAAACATATATAAATATGTAATAAACATATATATGCACTTACATCGTAAAACTGCAGTACTAAAAACATATAAAATTATCTTGTTCAGCCCTTGGTTGCGAGAATACGAAAAGGAGAAATAATTACGGAATGTTCTGCGTTAATCTTTTCAATTCGACTTATTTGCAAGATAAACTAACATCATAGTGTAGCATCGCGGATACACGCACATTATATGCACACCCGCGCGTTTATTTTGTAAACTGTCTATCACAGAATAACAATGGTATAAATAGAAATCCGCGATAGAGAGTAACATGCGATCGTTTCCGTTCGTGAGGTATTTATCCTGAGTGCAATCAAAACGTGTCGCGCACACGTATATAATATATTACATATACGCGCACGGAATCGCGAGTGCACTTCCTCTCGCTTTGCGTGAACTTTCATCGTGTCTCATTTTCCCACGCGTAATCTCTTCTTCTTCATTGCGTGATCTACCGCGATTCTATATACTTTCACGCATGGAGAAAGTGCCCGGGGGAGGGAAGGTCGCCACTCTTTCTTCAACTAATTCGAATCGCTTTGCAAACAAATTACGTCGATTTGTTCCCAGAAAAGGGATGGCATTCAAGTCAAAGCAAATATTATTGGAGAAGAATCAAGTTAATAAGGAATCATGTAGACTAGAACTAATATTGTGAATAATTTACGATTTTTATAAATATAGGATAAGAAGAAAGTGTCTTTTCCTTACAAATACATCGGAGACGAAAAATATTTAAAAAAATCTTTACGTATTTTTTTTAGTCTAATCAGTTTGTCTTCTATAAATTTTATATTATAAAAATATCGAATTAAAATTATTGAAAAATTAATGTTTTATGAGACATTTAATATTTTATCAAAACACAAAATATTTCTCTCGCTTGCTTTTTCTCTCGTAAATTAATGAATTTTTTATAGTTTTAATATTTTAATATTCAGAATGAAAATGAATTAAGTAATAAAAATACGCAGTTCCATTTGAAATAATATCTATTACCTATGTATATATCATTGTCTTTACGCGTTTGCATTAAGCGTAAGAAGATGAGGACAAGAGGCATTACCTCGCGCGAAACGAAGCACTCGATCGAGAAGTTATAAGCAGTATACGGCGCCGCTAAACATGACCCTGGCGAAGTTCATCAGATCGTCGTCCCAGCAGTAATTCTCTATGATCGCCCTGAACGTATACGACGTGAAAGTCGCGTAGCCGGCGATCTTGAAGACTGCGGCGATCAGGAAAGTCGAGAAGAGGTAACAATGTGTTCCCACATTCCACTTATATATTGGGCTCTCTCAATCGAGTCGTAAGTCAGGAAGGTGTTATGCTGACACATAAAGGCATACCAACAAACGGAACGACCTCGGGGAGATTGGCGAGCCTCCAGCTGTCCTTCTGATACGGACTGTAATCAGTCAGGCCTATGATTAACATACTGACCTAAACATATGGCCTAAACATATACTGAGTTTATAACAGATATTAGCGATAACCTCCTTGAACTACAAGTGAAATTCTCACTTACACCATGGTAGACATCCGTATTCGTCCGGATGAAGGTAACGGGGAGAATAAACCCGATGCAGATTAGAGAGAGGAAGAAGATTTTGGCCAATCGCGCGACGTTCTTGTACAGACAAAGCGGGATGACGATGCAAAGGGTCGCCAAGAGAATGATGACTTGTCGATGAGCAAGAACGTTCGTCCATCCCTGTCACTCTTATCAGGACCTTAGTCAATGTATCACCGACGACGACATTATATGAAACCATCGCTGTAACGTTAATAATAGCATTTCATGCGCGTTGATTAAAGGCTAATATATGATTGATATGACAGTTGGCGTGGATGGATAAATAAATATCATTGTTTATTTGTTATTTATTAAATGTTCTGTGGACAGCATTATTTCAAGTACTAACGTACGTACCTATATGAATTGATGGACGAACTGCAACGCCGTGAGAAAGTAGAAACCGGCAGGACCGAAGCTGTCTATCACCATACCTTGGTAGCTCATTTCGTCGCAAATGTCTCCATTTCGCACCATGAGAATTAGGTAACGAATAGTCGGTCAACGCCGTTACTAAAATTAAGAGGGCGATGCCGAGACCGAAGCCGGCTTGATGCAGAGCGTACGGTATTCCTGAAAAATTTACATTTCAATTGTGACATCATACTTTAAATTTACTTTAAGTTTCACAAAATATTAAGGGGTCTCACCACCCCTGAGGTTTTAAAATGATGACCTTAAGTTTGGGATTTTTTGTGGGTAAATGGATAACTTTATTTAAAATCTGCTTAGAGGACATTATTGTACATATATAAGAAACTAAAAAAATATTTTTGTATTTTTCGTATGTCCAAAATGGCGGCGCACTAGCCTACACTTGCAGAATCCCTTTTTTTCTAACGATGTACAGGATTCCGAGCACACGGTTTGGCCTTGAACAA